CCATTTATTTGCCTGCTTTCTTTCTACATTCTTTCAGCATATAACTGCTCCGTGAATTGTCGACCCTTCAGCCTATCTACCAGCAATTTCAACCGAATTCGTACACACCAACCATCATTCACTACAAAAGCGAACGGCCGAGCTCAAGGGGAGTTTTAACACAGCAAAAGCTAACAGTTTCTGAAGGAAAGTCACTCCCTCAAAAATCAGTGCAAAAGAGATGTTTCAAACGACTTCTCCTACCCTTTTGCTTGATAATACTGTATTTGAAAAAAAGACCTGGCACTTGTGCCGTTATGGTCGACATGCTGCACAGATGATGTTGACGATGAAGCTGGTGTGTGGTCGACATCGAAAATCTGATTTTGCCTCGCAGATGATGCAAAAATACGAGACTCGTGTATCGATGATGATGTTGTGCTGACGGACGATGTCTGTGACGGGCTAGCTGCTGAGGTGACGGAGTGGTCCGAAGTCGGCGAGCGAACCGGCGGAATGCGAGATGGAGAAATATCGTAATCAACTGGCGGTTCCTTTGGCGGAACCTGACGATGCGGCTGCAGCGCCTGACGATTTGCATTTGCTATATACTCTGAATGAAAAGTCAAGGAACTGCAAGCATGCCGCGCCATCATTTCTACCATTCACTGCGGCAGTAATTAGCTAGGATCCATGCCGGTTGATTACACCGTACAGAATTGACAAAACCACCCAACAGCAAAAAACGGAGAGAATTAAATCAAAAAAATAAACAAACTTCACTTAGGGAGGTGCGAAGTCGTACCAAAAAGGATGCAGAATTCGAAGGCTTCCAGCTTAGAAGTGCCAGTTTACGTCAAAACGTTAAAAGCGCAACACTTAAGCAAGCGGAATGCAAAATTAAAAAGACGGCATCACTTGCTAAAAGTGGAACACAATTCAGAGCACGGCACGTCAAACTAGAAGGATGCCATTTCACTAGTTCCAGTGATACTCCTAGACAATGTAAAAGCGAAAGTCTTGAATGTGGGGTCTCACCGTAAAATATCAATCAAAAATACTGCAGTAAATGAATACATTTTTGACTTCTTGCTGCACAACCGGTCCGAAATGGCGTGATGGATTTGTGGTACTGCGAGCCCACGAAAGATCCATTGCAGCTACTGCTGATGGTGGCATACGCTGTTCGGGGAATAACGTTGTTGGCCTCTGATTCAGCTGCTCTTGCAAGTGCTTCCTTCTGGTTTCAAGCTCAACTGCAACAACATAGCATGCGCAAAATCTAAAGTCCAAAAATCATACATGAAGCTCACTGCTTTTTCGGCCGCAATTTTTCATACAGTTAAAAGATGAATATGAAAAGTGCGCGTATTGCTGCTTAGTGTTCATCGAACGTTACCGAACGAATACCGGGAGGGCAGCTGGTGAGAAGGAAGGATCCACATGAACATTTCTTTAAAGATACGTGAACGAGGCAAGCACACGCTGCTGGCTGCACTGATGGCGAGCAGAAAAATTTTTTTGAAATAATTATCAAGAATACTAAGAACACCCGGAAAATGGGCATAAAAATCACGGCTTATTTCTTTCAATTCAATAGCGATATTAGTGCCCGCAAATCAGTCCTTAAGCCTAGCCTGGTAGCGAAGAAAACGGGCGTTACAAAACATATAACCTAGTAGAAAGCGTACCGGCTGCCGGTACGAGGATGCGTTTTTTGCGCAGTTCCCCCCGCA